ATTACTAATAATTCGATTATACCCATCATTAATTTAAAATATGTGAATGGATAGGAAACATTAGCAGTTTTAAAATTGGTGGTCAAGTAACGATTTTTTTTTTTAAGATAATTAAAAAACCAAGAGATAGCGCTAGTTTTCCATCTCTATAGGAAGAGGGCGGCCTAATCAATGGTTGGCCAATTAGACAGTTACTGTAGGTCTTAGTTACACAATCCCAAACAAGTAAGAACTATTCAAGTACTCTATGGTCTTTATTATAATCATTTGGGGATCAACTGTATTTTATACCGACGGAACGATAGTGTAAACTAGTTCACCTTTTACTTACTTCCGCCGCACGTGTCGTCGAGTTATATGCCAGCGCCTTATATTGTTTTATCCGCACTCTTCTGTATATCTCTCAGTATATTTCGTCGCCGTACTATTAATTNTCTCAGTATATTTCGTCGCCGTACTATTAATTGTATAGATTATTATTACGATTATTTTACAATTCATCTATATTAATTATAATGAACTACTAATAAATATTAAACACTGAAGTCATTTTTTAAATCCTTCTCAATAGATAGGTTGACGTTAACACGTGCCGCAAGAAGGTGGAAAATTCGATCAAATGGGTAGTTTTTCAGTTATTGTGCTTTATCTCAAAATATATGATTTTTACGTAAAAGTTTATAAGAAAAAAATAAATAAAATATTAAAAATAAATATTCTAGTATATACAATATAAATAAATTTTATTTTTGATTGGATTATCAATTCTTATTCATTAATGTATTTTTAGAACAATCTTCACATTGTGATCTATAATCATTGATGACTTGTAGTTGAAACTGTTTTTGCTCTTCATCATGAGTTAATATTTCATTGTAATCTTGCATAAGTTTTATGCATAAGCATTATCGTTTTTCACAAAAAGATTAGATAAAACTTTCAAACCATTTTGAAAATCAGGATTTTCAACCCAGCTATATGGATGAGTTTCCAAAAAATCTATTGGTATATTATTGATCCTTTTATACAAATTTAAAGCTACATTTTCGAGTGATAAATATCATAAATGCCCTGAAAATTTCTGTGTTGCAGCTTTATATATAAAAGAATCAGGATAGTTAATTAAAACTTTTAAGAAACATAAATCATTAAATGGTGATTGTATGGTAATAGATCCCTTAATCCAAGTCTCGACGTAAACTTTTACCAAAAATACACAAATATCACGAAATACGTGTTTTTCTCGTGTTTTAAGTTTAAACTGTTTTTTGAACATGTATATGTTTTTATATTTAAACATATTTAATTTATATTATTCCATCAGTAATATAGAAAAAGCGGATTCTGGGAATCAAAGGATGCCGCCATGGTAATTTGTATCATACGTCATCAAAAAGTCATAAATTAAGAGTGTTAATGGTTAATTAAATAGTTTATTACAGTCAATCGTATTTGATAATGTCGTAAATCAAGTGTGTAATTGTTAAAAATTGCCATAATAATGTGGGTTGGCGGAGGGTAGGTGGTCAGCTGAGTCGTCGTTACGTCGTCGTTTGTGTGACGTATGCAGTAACGCGTGCCCCTCGAGCAACAGCATCACAGTTGTTACATCATATAATCGCTCTTAAGGTCGATACGTTACATGTGGTAATGTTAAAGACTCTGCCCCTATCTACACCCTCCCCCGATAGTTGTACGTTAAACGGTCGCGCGATATATTGCGTATCGCTGTCCGTCGACGTGTCATCGTTGACGGAATATAAGCCATTGGTCGTGTAACCGCCCTAAGTGGAGGTGTGAATCACAACGTTTGCTGCCGCACGCTACCGCCGATACTACAGCGGTCGCCTTAGCAGGATAATAATACGACTCACGCCTGTCGGGGTTGTGGTAAGCTTATCCCTAAGGTATGCGCTGTATCGACTATAATACATCAAAATTAATCGTACAGTATCGCCAATTATTTTCATTTTAGATATAAATTGTACATAAAATGTTGATGTCGGCTAATCTTTTAAAAAACTGAATATATTTTTATCAATTACATCGGATGTTAATTGTTAATATACGAGTTGTTAATGGGCTGCTTTTGGCCATTGTTCGTATAGTGAAAAGTAAATCAGTATTTTTTTGTCAACATTATATAATAATAATAATGACTGTTGCAGTTTTCTTATTGTAAGATGTTTAGCAAAAAAAATTTTTAAATAAATACATTTTATTAAAAAAAAACTGTACAAATTAGAAAATAAATAATAAATTTATTTATAAATTNAGTACTAATTAGAAAATAAATAATAAATTTATTTATAAATTTTGACTATAGGTATTAGGCAGCTACAATAATATAATGAAACAAAAAGGGATCTCGGGGTATGCATGCCTACAGAAGATCGTTTGACATATTCTTTTTTCTGTACCTAAATGTAATACCAACTACCTAAAAAATCAGCCATTTTATAGAATGATGAATATTGCTAATAAGGACCCATCAGCTTTATTATATTATTAATTGTTGTATTTTTGTATTTTATATTATTATTGTACATATAATTTAAGTTTATTATACTGAAATTGGGCATGTCCCGTATTGTGAATATAAATAAATAAATATATATGAGTATAGGTGAAATACCAGCGAAAGGTTACTATTTGGCTCCCCCACAAAAATGTATACACGATTTTATATGAGTTGTGAGTATTGTATTCTTTTACGTTGTTATTTCGGTTAGTTTACTTCCGGTGACCTATCTCACTTCAATTGTTAATTACTAAAAATCCTTCGGTAAAGGGTTTATTATAGATATAAATAAATAACACTTACGTCTAATTATCATAATAAGACAGATATTCTGTTGAGATAAATTATGTAGTTGATGTCATAATTATCGATATGTATGTATAATTTAATAATTTATAAAATCAATAAAGAAATTATAAACAACATAACTGTCCTGTGCAATAAACTATTTCCAAGTGGCCTACGTCTTTTCAGTCGTTCAAAGAGTGATCTAGAGTAGATGTGAGCTCAAGTTCGATTCTTTGCACAATAGATTATACTAGTGTCTAATAATCCGATGGCCCGCACTGTGGCTGAGATCATACTGGCTGGTCGACCAGTGTAGAGAAACTTTCTAATTGCTTAGGTGATTAGTATAATATTTCGACTATGATTTATTTGTATTTCGTACCTGGTTGTACCAACATGAAATCTCAAATAATATCTTTATCTTTATGCAAAGACCCTTATGATATATGGCCTACTTCTTTTCAATCACCTGAAAGACAACCTAGGTTTGAGGCGACTGTACTATAGATTTATGCACAATAAGTTATATTAGTGGGTGGGCCGCCCTGAAGCAATACCTCGCGGTAGTTCCAGGGCGGTCCACAGCATGCCAGCGGTGGAAAAAAAAAAAAAAAATTATATTAGTGTCCTACATTCCGATGGCCCACACTATGGTTGAGATCAGACTGGCTAGTCGACAAGTGTAGAGACACTTGAGAGAACGCTTATAATTAATTGGAATCTTGATTATGATTTTATCGTGCTAGTACTCTGTTCAGATAGGTTTGGACACTTCAATAAGTAATAGAACATAATGCAATCTAATCATGTATTTTTTGAAGTGTGTATATATATAAAAAATAAATACTAATATTTTATGTGTTGGAATATTTGTTTCACCAAAAGCATTCACCGAAAATAAGATGTTTAATATTTAAATCCCAGCGATTAGGATTGCAATATAAAAACGGTGTAGATTTGATATAGAATTGTAACCAAGAGCGAACCATACACTCATGCAGATTCCATTTGTGTATGTTGATTGAGAACTCCAGAGAGACACGTAATCGTAGTTGTTTGAAAGTGAGAGTGAGCGCTGGAGAGCCCAAAAAATCATCGTCACTGGTGAGCGAGATGGAGGGTACTTAAGAACTGTCAAATTTTGGGAAAAATTGCCTTTTTATAGCCCGCAAAACTGGTTTGGCGATCTCTGGTGAGATTCTTGAAATATTTTTTGTTGTATTTGATTGGTTAATATGATAAAATCTTTTACGTGGGCGTTTTATGGAATGCATAAGAAGGTGGTTGAATCTTGTGTAAGGGTATTATTTTTTATTCATCTTATCCACGAGTAACACTGATTTGGTGATATATTTTTATTAAATATATGTTTTATTTATTAAATTTATTAAAATGTGATACTACACACCATATTTGCAAAGCAGCCGCGCCGACGTGCGACCACTGTTCGGATCGACCGAGAGAGGCTGACAGTGCTCTGCACGCCCTCTTTTGGTGCGAGGCGTGAGCCCAGGTGAGGGACATTTGGAGTCCCGACTAGGGTCCACGCTCCAAGTCGGGTCCATAGTGGACCTGATCTTGAGGAGCTGGTAGGTGTGGAGGCTCGTTCAGACATTGGCCGAATCCGTCTTGAAAAAGAAGGAGGAAGCGGAACGCCTGAGACAGTGGCAGCCAAGCCGTCTGGCACAGGAGGACCTGAGGCGCTGGTTTGGGCCTGTGCCTTAGGTTCTTGTTTTTGTGTTATTTGTATTCTGTGAGTTATTTTGATAACCCTTCCTAACGGTTCTCACTCTAGGATCCGGCTAACGGGAGGGGGCCACACCACGTTGCGAATCATCTCTTGATTAATTTCGGGCTGATTCACAATGTGGTGGTGTGAATTATAAAGACGGCGTGGACGGCCCTGAAGTAATGCCTAATGGTAGTTTCAGGGCGGCCCACAGTAATGTCGATCGTGAAAAAAAAGGTTGATTTTTATCTATTATATTTTTGTAGTCTAAAAAAATTATTCAAGTATATTTTTTACATAATACTAAAAAATATTTTGTTGATTTAGTTTTGTGATAATTTAATAACATAACTTTGAAAATATCTTGTAAATTCAGTTATGAAAATAGTCTTGTAGAGAATAAATTTTAGTATACAGTCAAAAAGAGCTTGTGTGAATTAATAATAAACATTTTATTTTTTTCAATATTCTTTATTAATATATTTTTAAGTTAAAAAAAATGTTAGCATTTTAATGATAGCTATTTTAAAAAACTATGTAATTATATTGTAAATAAAATTTTATAATTCAAAATGGCAATGGTAAAAAAAAAAATTCACTCACAGCACAGAATTAATTATTTTTCATTCTTCTTTTTTATTTTCATAGCCATTAAGTGTTATTTTATATTCATCTACTACTTTAGTAATGAGCATGTTCAATGCTTCAATTAGTTCCTTATTATTGTTTTCAATTTTAGTAGGAGGATAATAATCTTTTTTTAATTTTTTACTTAAAACGGATTCGTATGTTTCCCAATTATTTCCTCCTATAGGTAAAGGAATAAAAGGTACTTCAGCAGAATATTTTAACAAATTTTCACCTTTGAAATAATTATCTATGATATTTATAATTTCACTGAAAACATGGTGTATGATTTCAAAATGTGGAACAGAATATGGTTCTTTTGGAGAATTTTTAAAATTCTCTAAAACATTTCTGATGTTTTCAAGAACTTCATTTTCTAAATAAATAAATTTAAAATAATTACTTATAGTATATACCGCGGTATTAAATTTTGCAAATGGTTTACAATTAATATTTGGTTTAATTGCCATACTACCATATTGTGCCAATAGATACACATATTTTAAAGATCGGTACACCATGGCGTCTTTATAGTAAGGGTAAAACCAAATGTTTGCTTCATCTTCTGTTTCAATCAAAAATTTAATACTTAAAATTGTAAAAAAAGAAATACCAACTACATTGCTATCTTTCCAGTCGCTTGACTGAGGTAGTTTTACTTCTTCGTTTTCCAAATATTTTATGTTTTCAAATAATGAATCATCTAATTGAATTTGATCAATGTAGAAACATAATAAAAAAATTGTCAACAAAAATAAATTTGAAATTTTCAACATCATATTAATATCGATATTTGTGCATTACAGGTTTAAAGTTTTTGACTACTTTGATTAGACTAAAAATGTTATAAAAAAAATTTAATCAAAAATTGTCTAATTTATATTATTGACATTATTATAATTATTATTGACACAAATATAGTTTTATTTATCTAACTGAATGAGTATTTTTGATTTCAATCTATTAATTAATGTTAATACAAGAAATATTACATTTTTTCTTCATATTTTTAGTAAAAAAAAATTGCTATTTAATGTTATTAAAACTATGCACACTTTTAACTGAGTTCTAAAATTATGAATAGAGTTTAACTTTTAAAATATGAAGAACTTTTTTCATTTGAAATATTTTTTAATTGATCGGAAAATGTTTATAATCCCTTAAATAACTAACTAGTAGAAATTGAAAATTAAAATTTGAAAAGCTATAGCAGGATTTTTTTATTTATGTTTAAGGAACTTTTGTTGCATTAATTTTGAACTGTTTTTATACATTTTTTTATAAATATCGAGTAATAACTTTTTTTTATGAAATGTCACGAGGTCTAGTTTTACTTACGAAAATGAATAATAAATTAAGTAAAAACATATAATTTTCAATTCTAATTTCTTGAAAATTAAATAATGAAAAACAATTTTTTGGTTAAACATTTTACTTCTTCTAATTTATATCATCATTAAAATTATTTTTTGAACATTCTATATCAAGGTCTAATGGTTGAGTCCATAGTATAGAGTCAATATTAATATTAAAATTAAAGAATATCTATCTAAAATTTTATTTTTTTTTGTTTTGAGTTTCAATTATAAATACTAGTATTTGAACTATTCATATTAAAACAATACCGAAAAAAAAATTATCGAGTCTAGCTCGTTTGTAAAATTTGTTATTATAGCCCAACCGAATATAATACGATAATATCATTGCTTATAACTGACGACGCGCCGTACATAAATACAAATTCTTCTCGTATTCTTCAATCTTTTTACACAAAAAAGATTCATCTTACTTGTTTAACATATAACTTACATGGTCTAGCCAAAGAATATTGTTTTGAATTAGAAAACGTCAACAATTTAGTGGCTAATATAAGGAACATATATCGTAAATACCTACACCGAGTAAACATTTTTAAAACTGAAGCCCCTAATATAAAATTACCTCCAGCACCCATCATTACACAATAGGGAACTTGGTTAACAATTGCGTTATGCAACTGTACATATTTTGAAATTTTAAAACGGATAATTGAATCCTTTGATGAAAATGATCCTGTAGCTATAATAAAATCCAACATATATGTTAAGTCCAATCATCTAATTTACATTAAATGAAACCTTGATTCCCTGACGCTAGCAATTCCACGACTTCGAGAACAAAGTATTCCACTAAATAAAGGACATGAAATTGTCGAAAAATGTATGAAATTAGGAGGCTGCAACATATTGAAATTTAGAACATTGAAAAAAGTATTAGGTAATAATGTTGGGTATAATATTATTTGATACATTTCTATTGTTTTAACAGGCAAAGAAGATGACCTTAAAAATCTAAATCTACTCGAAGAAATGAATGGGAACCAAGGCTAGATCAAGGGGGGGACTTGGAGGGGCTATAGTCCCGGGCCCCGAGTTTAAAGGGGCTTCAACGTCTTGACTGGATTTTTTCATATAAAATGGCATCAAATAAATACAACAATTATTTATAATTTTCAAATTTATGAAATTTGAAAATGGACTTTAATACTTCATTACCAACACACAATTAATTATAGTGTCCGTGGCTTATCGCATTTGTGTGTTTGACTCACAATACTTTATCCTCGTAGTCTAATGTGCTCCCGATTCGCCGATGCGATAAAAATATTCGGTCGATGAACGACGACACACTATTACCAATCGATATCACCAATCTATCAACATTAAACCATATATTTTTGAGAAATACGAAGTTATCTTAATATTGTGATATAAATAGTTTTTAAACGACATACTTTTTATAATCAAAAACCGCACTCCTCAGTTCTGATTATATTATCGTAAACGACAGTTGCTCTTGTGAGGTTAATGATCATGTCACCTCGAAAATATAAATCTGGTGCTTTTAAACGAAAAATTCAGAAAATTAAAAAAGAAGGGGAAGAAAAAATTCCTAAATTATCCAATTACTTTCATCCAATAGAAATACTGAATTGGAGCCAAAAATGAATAAAGAAATTGACACAAACGCTGATGAATTATTGATAGTGCAGAAAAAGATCGTTCACTTTCACAATTAGTGACCAAAAGATTATCTTCAACAATAAATTTGAACATGTTGATTGGGTTTTTTATTAATTTTTTATTTTCCAAGACTTGAACCATACCTATGAATTGTTTCAATTCGTCGTAAAGGCCTTCTTCAAGATCCCGTGAGTAAATTTTGACTAAATTATTTCCAGATTTTTTCAATGAGTCAAAAATCCAAAGAGGTTTGTTATATTGTCATAAGCTGAGCTACGTTTTTTTAATTCGGCTTGCAATTTATCAATAATAACAAAAAGAGTATTGACTCTAAATTTATTTCTACCTTTTAAACTTTCATGACCTGTAGTACCATCTGAATATGTTTGAATAATGTTACGTTTATTTTTTCCTCCATCAGACCATTCTTTACTAACTGAGAGACTTAATATTTTTGTTTCATCTTCAATAGCGTCAAAATCATTTCGAAGTTCATCAACAAATTTTACCAACGATTGTAGCATACTATTACCAGTAACTATATCAATTTCAGTTCTTTGTAAATAAATACTTGTTGCATTAAATCTGCCTAACACACGTTTCCAAAAAATAGTCATAAAACCTGTTTCTAATTTTATTAACTTTTTCTTAATTGAATCGGCCTCGTGACGAGTATCAGCATTTTCATCCATATTTTTAGAAATTTCAGTTAACTTGTTATATACCTCTTCATAATTACCAGCTAATGATTCTACAGCATCATCACGACAAGACCATTGTGTACTTGAGAGGCTTTTTAATGTCCTATTATGTTTTCTACTGTTTCTTAATAATACATCCCATCTATGCGTCGAGGCTCCAAAAAATGCATTTAATTTTTGAAGAATTCAAATTGAATTGAAAACAGATTGGCAAGCGATTATTCTGAAAATTTTAGTAATGAAATAGAAGAATCACATCTGAAAATATCTTCTTTAGAAATGAATTATGATTTTAGAAAGAATTGTGCTGTTCATTAGACAGAAATGTTTTGGTTTCGACGTTGATATTCATTTTGAGGATCGAAAATAAATAATTACGGTATTTAACATTTAATTTTTAACTATATTTCGTCTTTGTATAGCATTTTAAAGTTGTTTAACTTCTATTTTATGTTTTAAATAAGTTAATTAATTATCTGAGAGAGTTCATAAAAATGTATGTATGTTAACCTTTTTAATACATATTTGATTTCCTAATAAATTAATACTAACTATAAAATATTTACATAGAAATAAATAATCAAAGAACTTCGGTTGTATAACATACATTTTTAAAAATCATTAAGAACAAAAGTTGTAATCGGTAATTCTACTAGTAATTGAAATTTAACTACTTTATTGCAGAAAAATAGTAATCTAGAACTTAGTTAATATAAAAATATTGCGTGAATTAGATATTATTTTTGAACTCTTATAGAATGACAGTTATTTTTCTCAACTATTATCAAACAGACGCGGTGATAAAATGCTAATGAACAAAGTTTTGGTGAAAGTGTATTTTTTGTTAGCGAAAATAGAAACCGCATTTTTCTTATAACCAACAAATACTGTAAAATTATATTTTTGCATGCATACTTAGAAAAAAAAACATTATCAAATTTGATTTGAAACTATTGTCTACAACAATACCAACTCATTGATTATTGTCATATTTTATACTCGTTTGATATTCACGCAATATTAATTAACGATCAAATATTATCTATTCACACAACAATATGGGCGGGAAAAATAAAATAAATTAAAATAAGAAAAAAAATGGGAAACAATGATTTTAATAGAGCGAAACGCCACATTGCGTGTCAAATGTCAATACGAAGTAAACTGAATAAAATTATATGTTCGCACATAGATTGTATAATTATTCGAATAATGCGCATTAAAGTGAGTTCGTTAAAAAATTAAATCAATGATCTAGTTAAAGTCAATAGCGATCAGTTTTTTCTTTTTATTTATTTTTTTGATTATAAAATTTATATAATAATAACGCAGTATTTCCGGAACATTTTCAAAAATTAAGTTGAAAAAGTTAATTTTTGTAAAAAAGTTGCTATTTTAAATCCCCCCCAATGAGCAGGTTAAGTGTTAGATATTGAAAAAAATGATATCACATGAAAGCAAAATATCTAAGGTTTTAGTTTAAAAAAAAATTATGTTAGTTTGTTGATTTTTCAAAAAGTTATGGAAGTTTTAAGAAAAAAAAGTGAAAAAAATGACAAAATTTACCGATTTTTAAATTTGTAATTTTTTTGGATATTTCCCCCATTTGCGGGGAACGAGGGAAAATTTTTAAATTTTTAAGGGTAATGTCTTCAACTAGATACAATTTGTGATNCATTTACGGGAAACGAGGGAAAATTTTTAAATTTTTAATGGTACTGTTTTCAATTAGATACAATTTATGATCTTTTGACGTATTGTTGAAAAAAATCGGTCCAGTGAGAGCTGCGAAAAAGTGGCAACAGACATAAAAAAAAAAAAAAAACACATCATAGTAAAATTAATACCTTCTCAGCTTCGCATCGAAGCTAAAAAAATAATATATGCTATTATTAAAATTAATTAAAATAACTATTTATTATTTTATTCCTTATTTAAATTAAATATACTTATATTTTATTGAACTTTTCAGTTAAATATATAAGCGAGAGTGAATAGGGAAAATGAGCAGTCTTGACAAGTTATCTAGTCGCTGTGAAAATGATAAATGTATAGAAAAAATAATTTGTAAAAAGAGTTAATTAATCGTTGATGATTTGAAAAAATGTCACAGAAAAATTAAATAACTATAA